AATTAGCAGCTCCATTAATACCTATGCAGTGAGTACGGTCACTGGCAAGAAAAAAAATCTACCACCACGCATATTTCATCTGTACTTTGTGCACTAAGTACAATCCAGTGGCATCCCAACATCCTTCAACAACTATTTGCAAGTTAGGCAATTTGCACAAAGTTCAACTACTTACAAAGTTCATAGCTATACAGAGCCATCTATTTCTAGTCAAGAAACAGAACACGACTTTCACAGATCCTGAAATTATTTCATTTGTCAACATCAACCTATTCCTTGCCCATCACAGCTGAGTTATTTTAGCAGCACTATTTTCAGAACACCTGAGCCAGCAGATGCTTTAGGCTATACAGAAACAACTGGAGAAGTGCAGCCTTCAAATGATGGAAAGCCCAGAAATCCTTGGTTGGTGACAATGCTCAGTGTATTTCTCCTAAACTAAATAATAAACAAAGGTCAGCTGAACACTCCTATAGCCTAAGAATATATCCAGGGTCTCAAAGCAGAGTGAGGATGGTTTGGAGCTGATTTTTATGCTGCTAGAGCTGGGCAGCTCTCAATAACTTGTCAGCCTGGGTACAGCTGTACAAACTGTGGGCTGCCCTGCAAGCACATGCTTAAGACAACCAGCAGAAGTTCTGTATGCCCATTCGGCATCCATGGGACGATGGCATCACAACAGAAGCACCAGGAGGAGCTCTCAGCAGCCTTTACAATAATCCAGCACATCCTTTCTGCTCCCCCAGCAATACAAGTGAGCAGAGCAATCCAAATCACAGTGAAAGGCTGGAACACAAGGAGACAAACCAGCTTGTGATGGTACGACTTTGGGAAATATGCTCCATTGCAATGAGACTGATGAACAACACAGCTATCTGCCTTGACAGAGGAAGTGCCATTTTTTTAACAATGAAAAAAGCAGAGAGTCTGTCCAAAGCCAGGAATAGAGCCTAGCTCTCCACAGGATTATTTTAACAGATTAATAACAGCACCAAGGCAGCAACTAAAAATTCCCTATTAACTGCAGGAACAGAACTGGACAGCATTGCAAACATAAGGTTACGCAACACAGCCTCACTCTTTCTCCTTTGAAGAGTTAAATAAGGTGCCATTTAGCTATCATATTACACTACATAAAATACGTAAGCCCTCAGCTTTGCAGCTGTAGTCTGCACCGCTAAGTTGAAGTTTGCTTATTATATAAAGTGTTTGCTACAAAAGCCTATTTCCATTTAATTCATGCTAACATTCTTGAAACCAAAGGTCAAAAACAAGGAAACAAAAGCTTAACTGTAGCTAAGTAGGTCTTGGATGGAGCCCAGAGCTGATGAGAAGCAAAAGCTTCACATGAGAGTAACAGTAGCTTCAGTGTTTGCATTCTGTTTAATTAAACATGCTTTTTAAAAGAATCAATTTACATTAAAAATTTTTAAAAACAGAACCTAATTTTGAATAAAACCCGAATCAAACAAAGTGTTTGCTCAGATTTTAAGTTAATGTATTTTTAAACTGTAAAAAATGTTTGTTTGCATATGAATGAATATTTATACTGCAGATGTTTCACACCTGTTCGCATCTTGCAGGACAGTTGCCTTTACATGTTTTTATCTCAATCACAGCACAGAGAAAATTCAAATCTAGCACTCCCTCTCCCATTTCAGGGGAATTAGGACTGAATTCCACATAATATGGTTTTCTTTTCCTTTTTCATTCAAAGCAAATTCTCATTTCTTTTTTCAATTTAGGTATAGGTCTTCAAAGTAGAATAAGCTTGTCGTAGACTTTTGAATTCTCCTGTACTAAATTAGAATCGGTGACAGTGAGATTTACTGCATAAAACACAACTTGACTTTTGTATGAGTGTTAAGGAAAATCACTGCTCTCTTTCATTGCATCATCAAGGAAGTGTTTACACTTAAAATCAACAGCATATTACTCTTCATTCTTTGGATGACAAGTCAGTGACATATTGTCCCCCTTTACCCCTCCTTTCCCTCACCAGCAGCTCTTTGAAACGTTTAATAGAACATTTTTCTAATATTTCACTTGCAAACCTCAAGGTTGCAATCTCCGTACAAGTAACAGCTCTGCCCAAGTACTCCCATGCATTTCTTTCTTCCCACAGTTGCTCCCTCTATAAGCAAAACTCAGTGTTCAGCAATTACCACCACATAATCAAAAATATAGCTGAAAAAAAAACCCAAACCAAAAACAAAGAAGGGGAAAAAAATCTGCTTCATCTCTGTGTTAAGAGTTTAGAGGAAGAAAACCACAATACCTAAATTCAAGTTTAGATATAAGGAAACATGATAACAAGAACTACTCTTTTCTTCCTCATAACAAAAAATAATAGAATCACTGTATCATGTTGAGCTTAACATGTGAGAATAATATTGTTGTGGGTGGTGCCAAGAATCACTTGGAACAAGTCATTCTTGCATCTTGGCAGAATTGCCCTTCAAGAAAAAAAAAAAAACCAAACAAAAAACATGCCTACAATCAGTGATTTCCTCTAGTTGACTTGCTATGGTAGCTATCCCGATTACCTGTCCATGGACCCAATCCAAAGCTCATTACTGGCAACAGGCTTTTGAAACAGCCCTGTTATGTTTTTTTTCCACAATGGAAAAGCTCTGTATTTAATTGATAGACTGAAAATAATCTTAAACTCTTTGAAGTCTAAGTTTAACCAGAGAAAAGGACATAATGTTTGCCTCTGGCAAGCGACACCTGGAGGAAAAAAACCCTGTGATACAGAAATAATGCAATTTATACAGTGCTTAGTATGGTGCAAGTACATCAGAGGAATCTTTAAATTAAAGGTCTGGACATAGCAAAGTAACTGGTTGCTCCCTAATACCAAAACAATTTAGTTACTAGACTTTACAAACAAATCTTTTGAAGAGAAGCATAAATGGTGTTCAAAAAAATGAAACATTTTAATTAAAACAATTTTACCTGAATTTATTGTAGCTCTGTGCTTGCAACTGTGTTCAGACAGCATCAACAGAATAATTTAATATCAAATAAAATAGAAAAATATTAAAAATTCTGTAATGTCACCATTTTATTGTTTTAGGATTACATAATCTATTGAAAATAAACTCTGTTTTTCCTCTTCAGGAAAGCAGCCACATTTGAAGGAACTAGCATTTTCAGTAGCATTTCAGACCACAGCACAGTGGTGGTGTAAGCCATTACTCAGCTGATCCACAGAAAAGCTGTTTCTCTTACTAGCTTTCAGTGGGGTCACACCACTGAATTAGCCTGCAATTCAAACAAACATTAATGTCAGCACGAGGGCAGAAAAGTGTGGCCAAGGAAGAATGCACAAGAAAAACTCCAACAGTCCCGACTTTGATGAAACTGAAGATGAAATTTCACTATTAAATGCACAAGTAAGTAACACTAAGTATAGAGCAGTTTCTCCAATTTACACAAAACAATGATTCCAAACCCAAAGCAAACCTAAATAAAAATAATATACAAAACCACATCTCAAAAATTCAGGAAGTTCTCTTTCAGAAGGGTGTCTTTCCTTCACAGCATAGTCTACAGTCAGTATTGTCATGCAGTGGAGGATGTAACTGTGCTCCATCACCCTTAGAAATATCTCTCTGCCAAGCGAAAACCATGTGCATTAGGAAATGCTACCCTCTATCGTTTGACTAGTCTGAACAGCTAATGTTTCCTTAAAATGATCATTTTAAGAGGCTAACTTTACTTTTCTTAGAAATTACTATAGAAATCATGACTTAAACCCCCTCAAACCTGAAAAGCTGGTGTATGTTACTACATAGCCAGACCCTGACCTTCTTTTTACTTATCAACTTAGTCCTTGGCTACAGCACTCCAATGAGCCCTGTGACTCTCGCTTCCCCTCCAATTCCCTCTTCCAAAAGGAAGGCAAGCCAGAAACTGAAAAATAATTATTGCTTCAAATAACTGACTTTTTTTTAGTTCTGCATAACAGTTTGCATTTTTTGAATTTTTTTTGTCCATTCTGTATAAGTGGTACTTCAAATCCTTACATGATCTTTTACCATTCTCCTGTCGTCTTTCCATTACCATCCCTTTCCAAACCCTTGTTTTTTTTTTTTAAAATTAAATTTAATTAAACTCTTGTAAGAGCCCTTATTTAGAAGATTTTTATATTTAAAAACCTTTTCTAAAAAGCTGAAGCAGCAGGATCTGAAGACATAAGAATGCTATTGCAAAAGAAACAGAAGGTGATCTTTGAATTCAACTGTATTATGAAAAATTTCTTAAAGAGTCCAAAAGGTATGGTCCCCCCCAATAAATGAGCAAAAAAGGCAAGAGGTGAACAATATTTTTCTGCCAAAGTCACTGCTTAAGAAAAGCTGCAAAACTCACTATATGAGTATTTAGACTACGCCAGCAGGATATTAGATTTAAAAGGAAATTTTTTCCAGCTTATTCTACATTTAAACTGGGAAGTTCCACTTGGCTAACAGCAAATAGAATGAAAGAAACACAAGGAAGAGGAAGATTGCCAGGACAAAGTACAAAGAATAATACAGTCTGCACACCAAGTGGCAGAGAAAAGCAAGTGGAAAACAGAAGGTAAATACCTTTGTGTCTTTAATTAAGTTAATTTAGAGTTAATGTTGACACCTCAATTTCTTGGAAAAGAAACTGACATTTGAAGTCCCCTAGAACTTTTTTGCCTTTTAACCTCTGTTTCTAGCACTTGTGGGTAGATAAAGAGAATTGAGTGAATTTTAGAAACAAGAACCAATCTTTTAAGGATGATTTTGACTAAATACACTACTGATGTGTATACCTGAGGATGTCCACACTGTGACTTTTATGTACCACCACCTATAAAGAAACAGTGTTACAGGTCTTTTTTAATCACTGCTTAAGAATGAAAGTATTGTAATGCATTATTGCTACTATTTAAGTTTCCCTCAAGCCAGCAGAGCAGCCAAAGCACATCATAAGGCCCTTCTGACCTCGGTCAGAACACAAGACGCTGATGACACGACATAATGCCGTAATTCGTTTACTGACACTATAATGTAAAGTATGAAATACAGGTTGTCAGAAATACAATCAAAACAGAGCTCACAATATTCCATCATTGCCCTCTGGACGATTTCCAAGGCAGGAAGAGTAAACAGCCTTCTCCCAGCTTTCTTAGTTTCCACAGCTGAGAGTGTAGGATGTTTACAATACCTGTCACTCAGAGCTCTGGAAAACAGACCAAATGTCAGCAGATCTCACACTGACTCCTTCACTGACTGCTGGAAACATGCAGATGTCAAGTGATGAGAAGAAAAAATCCATATCCATGACTATTGTATACCATATGAATCCAAATCAGTGTTAAATCCTTTGTGAAAAAGTTGGAACGTCTAAGAAAGAAGTTCAAAATAAAGCTGAGCTTCAGCATCTCCAGAGGACAGCCAGTGTTATTGCCACCATTGTAGTGCAAGGCTCACTGCCAGTTCACTCCAAAGTACTCTTGAATGTCTTGAAGTTGTGCCTGCAGAAAACAGAGAATTCACCATTTTAATGAGTGCACACAGAAAATCTAACAAACAAGCAGAAAAACGGTCTTTGCATTTCACAAGTAAAACCTGTCATTTAATTTCCAAAGGACTTCAAGCTTTTAACACAATTTAAGCAGTACATTAAAGCGCTGGCTCACAGAATGCCTACAATATCTAGCGTATTTTTAATTATCAGAAGAATGATGGTTCTGGGACACTTTTGAATACTATGAGGAAAAGAATACTTTTAAAGACACAGCTTGTTAAATTGAAGAGTTTAATTAAATAGCAACATATGACTGTTAGCAGTTTAGGTAGGTTTGAGACTGTATTTTCCTCTCAGAAAATGATTAAATATTCAGTTTCCTTAAATGCATCAAGTCTAAGGGAAAAAACAAACAAAATAAAAAAGAAATAACAACCAAACAATAAAAACAAAACCAACCAACCAAAAACAAACAAACAAACAAAAAACCCAAACAACAGGAAAGGGGGAACTATGTAACTGCACCCCCCACTTGACCATGCATAAGAAGGATTAGAGATTTGCAGGAGCCTGAAAAGTTGAAATAAATCTTAAGGTAGACATCATGTTCACCTTCTAGTCTACTAGAAAATAATATGGACTTCAAGGGCAAAGGTGGCTAAAATTGAAAGAATCAAAAGTTTTCTTTCTCAAGCTGTCTGTCCTCAATAAATCATCTCTCTGGTCAGCAGTTAAACAACCTATTCTAGTTCTGCACTAAGAAGATCCATTTCTCCTAAAACACTGCACCCCAACATGTCGATAGGGTCCATGGGTTGGATCTCTTTAAGGCACACAACAGAAGAGGAAAATCACAATCTTTAATCAAGGAGCCACACCAGTAAGAGTGCCAGGTAACTGCAAGAAACAGAAGAGCTCAACAAAGAATCCAGCAGTAGAATAAAAGCATAAAGTGCAGGAAGAAAATTATGGAGCTGCTCTTTCAGAAAAGAAAAAGGCATAAATCTCAGAATAACCCAGGTGTGAACACATCTCAGGAAGTCACCTAGTTCCAGGCCTGTAGGAGGCAAGGCCAGTTTTGAAATCCCACGTGAACTGCAGCTAGACACCTCACATTGCTCATTCAAGGTTTTGCAGCTTAAGTATGATTTGCAGAAGGCACTTCAGCACTTTACAAAAGAAAGTCAAAACAATGTGGTAGTTCCTGACTGAATTTACCATAGCGCTCTCAATCTTTAGCTGACAGGCACCTGATATTTCTATTGCTAATAGATCCTATTTTGATCCTCTAATGGCTATGATGAATTCTTTTATATTTCATGATCAATCACAATATCATCTTGGTGTGCATCTTTTATTACTGTTGGTTAGAAAAGCTATTTACTATATATTTTTCCTGTACAATTCAAATTTCAGGGCTTAAAATCAGACAGTTGACTTGGAAAATATTAACCTATGTTAGACTCTAAAACAGTTTTTCCCAGTTTAATAAATGGAAAATAATGTAAACAAAAAATTACCCCTCTCCCAATAATCCAGTATGTCCTAAATAAAAAAAAAAAACACCCAACTATGCAAATTCAGAAAGCATAGGTATTGTATTTGCTAAAAAGTAAGTAGCAGGAAAAAAAACCACAAACTGTCAGCTTTGGGTTTTTTTCTAGAGTAGGAAAAAAATTCTGCTTTCAAAGTAAGCCTGTGAACTATTGGAGCTGTTGGCCTCATATCCAAGAAAATTTATGAGAGCCAGTGCAGTAACAGGCAACATACTGTCAGCACACAAAAGAAAGAAGAGCTGTCAAGGTAAATGATACAGTGACAGGGAAATAAACACATGAAAGAAAAACAATCTGGAAATTCAGAATAAAAAAATCAGAATAAAAGCTAAGTCATATATTATGGTCTCACAGAATCATAGAATCCCAAACACTTTTGCAACTGATTATATATTCTTCAGCTCCAGCATTTAAATGAATGACACAAGTGACATGAGACTTAAAAAGTCAGTTTTACATATATATTTCAGAGGTGCTTCTGAAAGGTGCACTAGACAGTCATAACTTCAAACAATTTAAGGAAATTTTCCGGCAAGAACTTCATTTATACTCAACACAGTAATTCCTATTCTGAAGGGCTGACAGTCAAAACGAGCAACAGGAGAACATGACAGCAATTAAATGATGACTTTAAGCACAGGTTCACTATATTTCTACTGCTTCTCTACTGACTGCCTTTGACTTCCAAATCGTTTGAGGTGACTGCTTTCTTTTACTAGTACTGATGAAGCCAAAGATGTGTCTAAGGTGACATACATGGGGAGGGGTAAGAAGTTACATACGTCACACCCCTTTGCCAAAATAGATGCCTACCACTTGCCAGGCACAGTTCCTCATCTGTGTCTAGGCATCCAGACAGCAGCCACCCGCCTGCCTCAGCTTTCATTGCAAAGCATGTACTTCTACAGCTGTCTGACAAGAAATAAAGCTTTCGATTTGCCAGCAAGTCCTGCACAAAGTTGGGCTAAAATCCTGCAGCTGAAGGATCTAAGGGCAGGCACTACCTGCACAGACAGCCACGCAGGTGATCACGGTCTCATCAAAGCTATCACAGCAGTAAAGATTAACTGCTGCTGCTGCAAAAAAAAAAGCTTTCTGTCCCAGATTTCCAAGAGGCAAGGTGTTAGTGATACAGTTATCTACCCAATCTTAAAACCTGCTCTCCCTCCCTTGGCTTCACTGTCCTACACTTGAGGTAGCAGAAAGATTAGCTGTTTCAGAGGCCACAAGTCACAGAAACTAGCACAATGTCAGCTCATCTGACAAGGCTGTAAAGGTATTAGACCTCACAACATACATAATTTTCTCCCTATTTACAAACAGGGTTATTTTTCTTTGTTTTTTGGTCATTTGTTGTTGAGTGATATAATTGAGTGGACTGTAAAATATAGTACAGAGAGTTATGAAAGAAGCATATATATATAGTACAGAGAATTATGAAAGAAGCAACTGCTAAAAGAATGTAGTGCAACAATAAAACCTAGCAACCCCAAAACCCAACTGAAGCACTGCCCTGCCATCACCTGGAAAGAACAGATTATGAATTGCCCAATAAATGCCACACTATAAAGAGACCACATTTGTTCATTCACTTTCATTTCACAAGGAGGCACAAAAGAGAGGGACTGAAAAGAAAACCTATTCTCTACCCTTTTTATCAAGTTGGGTATTTAATTTCTTGTAATGACAAGAAGTTGGGTGCCAACATAGGCAAATTACTCACTGCTCACTTTACAGAATATTTATTACAGTCTGAACCACTCAATTATATCTCTCAACAACAAATGACCAAAAAACAAAGAAAAATAACCCTGTTTGTAAATAGGGAGAAAATTATATATGTTGTGAGGTCTAACACCTTTACAGCCTTGTCAGATGAGCTGACATTGTGCTAGTTTCTGTGACTTGTGGCCTCTGAAACAGCTAATCTTTCTGCTACCTCTGCATCAGACACACCATTAAAATGGGGGAAAGTATTACTGAACATTATGGATATTATGCCATCAGTAAAACTAATGAGGCACTATTTACATACCAAGCCCTCTTACTCTGCCTTTTATAAAAAACAGTCTCCAAAAGCTTCTTCAACATCTATAATGCACAGGGAAGGCTAATCTACCTAAGAAAAGACTACCTCATTCACCTGCAGTGACCTACGTGAGGGGCAAAATACTTGTGACGAATGCCCCTTCTGAATACAGACAGTTTAAAAAGCAGCAGGCCCAGTGAAGACTGCAATGTATTTAAAACTCTTCCTTCATTGCCTGGTGGAGTCCTGGAGTAAAGACTGTGTCATCTTAACATTTGGAGATATTCCCAAATTACCTCTTTCACTGAAAGCCACTCCTCCAGAAGCAGATAGTAACATCCATAGTAAACAGCCAGGTCAGTTTGAAGTAACAATTGGGATTTGGACTTGGAAGGAGGAGGCAAAGTGGCAGGCATCCTTCAAGCTTAGCTAGATCTCCCTTCATGTGTCTTCACTGTGTGGTAGCCACAAAGACTGAAAAACTCTAACTTCTGCTGCTCTCCTTGTGCACAAAGCAGCCTTTCCCTCAAAATTGCCAAGTTTACCTTCTCACCTGCCTGCTCCAGGAAGAGCATACAGCTTCAGTAAAAACTTCTGGTCCAACTTTCTCCAAAAAACCCTGGCATGGTTCTAAGACTACTTCAAGCCCATTATGATGAATTCTGGCTTTTCCCATCCTGAACATTCTGTGTTCCATTGTGGAAACAATGGAATGTAAAGAGAATCTGGGAATGTAAAGAGGAACACCAGGGTCACTGTCTGATGGGGAAGACTTAAAAATGGAGGTGAATCTTGGTGTTATCCTTTAGTAACTGCATCTGCACAGCTTCAAAGAAAGAAACCTATCCCACTCACTTTCTTCATAAGCCTTGCAGCTCTTTGAAGGGAGGGGAGAAAAAAATAATAAAGTTTCCTTTTTGGTGTAACTGCTATAACACAAACACAAGAAAAAAAATCTGAAATCAAAGTCAGTATATGTTTAAACTGGGTAGAAGAGAGATTAGTTTCAATCATTTTAAACCTTTTTTCCCCTGAGAGTCAGAAGCAACACAGTGGGAGAAGAACAGCCAAAACACAGAAGCCGCAAAATACAGTGGAATAGATCAAAATACAAAAGCAAGCAGATTCTAGACATCTTTGAATGAAGAGCATTCCAAATTCCATATAAGTATATAAACTGCCACCAGATGTCAGTACAGCCTAGAGAATTACTAGTTCCACCCTCTACTCAAGGCTGATAAAGGTATTTATTTAACATCTCCCACAACTGTCCAGGTACACAAATCCAGCCCTGCCACCAGTCCTGAATGGAAACAGCCACTTGAAATAGGAATTCTCCGTTTCATACCGAGAAGCAGCCCCTGGGGCCTGACATATGATCTCATTTGCATGTTATCAACATGAAATAAAAAACAAACAACA